GCCCCAACTCTGAGCTTCAGAGCAGGCAGGGCACTTCCGGCGCCGATGCTGCCGCCTCCGCGGTCATCCCTTCCTCCCGCCACCCCCCCTACTACAGCGCCCCCTTGTGGCCCGGAGTCTCAGCATGGCGTTCCCACCCTACGGCGCCACCCAGCGGTTCGGCGCCGCAGCGCTCCGCGGTTCCCGCACGCTCCGCTCTGGCGCCCCCTACCATCCCGTTTGTAAACGGCGCCACGAGTCGGGTCGACAGCCCCCTAAAGTGTCGGGGGTGGGGTGGGGTGGGGTGGGGGACCTTTTCAAAAGAACCTGAACGAGAAGGTTGCCTACTCCAATGTTGTCGCTTTGGACTCTTGACCCCTACGAAGCCTAGGCCACTCTGTCCCCCAAGCGGAGCGTCTCACTCTGCCAGCCACCCTCGTGGGTAGCAGAGAAGAGCCTGGCCTGAGAACTCCATCTTTATTTAAAGCTCACTGCCCGCTCCTCATTTCCCACCCAACCTTCCCTCCTCCCTCAGCCACCAAGGCTAGGTTAGCTCCAGCTGGCAGGTTTTGAACGGACTCAGTGTACGGTTTGTCGTGCGCTTGAAGGTGTCCACCTGGGGCACGAATTTCTCAGCCGGCACCTTCAGCTTGCGCCGGGTGTCCATACACTTGGTGTCCAACAGCATGGAGTTGGCCTTGCACGCAATGTCAGCCTGCAGCCGGGCCAGGTGCTTGCACAAGGCGTCCAGAGCGTCCCTGTAGAGGAGGCATCGAGAGCTCACAGGCCTGCATGAGGCTTCGAGGGCCAGATCATTTCCCAGAGGGGCCAGTGGGCAGTAAGGTCCCATGGTTGGCTCTAAACCTACTGTGTCTGGGCCAGCTTCTGCTTCAAGATAGCGATGGTTGCCTCCAACTGGTGCACTTCGTCTTTGAGGCCACCCTGTGTCTGGAGGCAGAGGGGCAGGATTGGGACTTGCGGTCCAGCCACACTGCCTTTCAGCTGTCCTCGGGGCTGCCCAGGGCCAGAAGGCTGGCTCCACCGGGACCCTGTGCAGGGAGAAAATTGAGGACTCCTTAGCAGGGGAGGGCGGTCCCCGCTGGGGGTCCTCGTACCTGGTCCTCGCAGAGCTCCACATTGGGCCGGTAGGTTCTGGACTCCAGCCGGGTATGTGCAAGCTTCAAGTTCATTATCTTCCTGCGCAGGTCATCTTCCAGGTGCCGAATGTCTTCCTGCAGCTCGGCTATCTCCTCCAAGGTCTGTGGCAGACATACTGTTCTCCACCAGCAACACACACACACGCACACACACACACACACACACACACGCACGCACGCACGCACGCACGCACTCACACACGCACTCACACACGCACGCATGCACGCACACACTCGGGGCCCCAACTCTGAGCTTCAGAGCAGGCAGGGCACCTGTGCCTTGCCTCACAGCAGGGCGGGAGGGCCAGGGAGAGACTCACATTTTTCTCCTGCCACTTGAGCTCGCTGTACACACCCTCCATCTCCCGAAGCCGCTTCCGGAAGGCAAATTCTGTTGTGACCCTCTGAGCTTCAAGTTCATTGTTGGTCTGCATGGAAAGAGCACCAAGAGGCGGGTGGAGTCAGGGGAAAGGCTAGGACGTGGTCAGCGTGGACGGCAGGGTAAGGGTGAGTTGGGCTCAGTCACCTGAGCAATGGTTAGGGCAATGGCTTCCCTCAACTCAATGGCTGCCTTCATTTCTGCGTCGGCTCGGTCCTTGTTGAACCTACTGAACTCATCCCACTGCTGGAGAGTGGTGGAGCTGTGGGGGCCAGGAAAACAGCGGGGTTACGGGGTGTGGGCCTCCAAGGGGCGGAGGAAGGGCCGGCTGAAATTCTCTTCTTACTCTTTGGGGACGCGTGTGGGGTTAACCTTCAGAGAGATGTTTGGAGACGTGAGGTTGAGAGAGAGGCAGCCCCTGTCGATGTCCAGCGTCTCCATTTTGTCTCGGTGGTCAGAGTTGAGCTGCTGCCGGATTTCCTGCAGGAGACTGGGGAAGAAGACTGCATTGAAGCCAGCCCCCCCCAACCCCCGGGAGTGGGGGTGTTCTGGGATGCAACCCTGACAGGGCTGTGAAGATACTGAGGGGCTGTGGTGTGTGTGTGTGTGTGTGTGTGTGTGTGTGTGTGTGTGTGTGTGTGGTAATGCAGGTGCCGCTGAATCCGAGACACAGAGCGGCACAACCTCACGAGTGTCCCGCAGACACAAGGCACGGGTATGTGGCTTCGCATGCCTGCGCGCACACTTACAATAAGGTGCTGAGGGCAGTATGGGTGCTTTCAACCACGGAGCAATGGCTACCTAGAACGGGATCCTAACAAGGAGTAGGCAGTGGGAAGCTGCTGGAAAAACAGCCAGTGGTTTCCTCCTGAAGGCCGGGAGGGACACAAAGCATCATCCAACTGATTGTTCCCCCGATGCCTCGAATGCATGTGAGTGTGCTCAGGCCCCTCCCCGCCTCACCAGAGCTGCTGGAAGGCCTGGTCGATCCTCTGCTGCAGGGTCTTCTTGGTGGCCTCAATGACCTCCACCTCTTTAAGCAGCTCTTCCTCGACCGGGTCCTTCACGACATCAATGTCTCGCCGGCTCTCCCGCAGGGTCAGGCACTCGATGGCCACGTCCAGGGGCAGGTTCTTGGCCTGCAGGTTTTGTTCTGCAGACTCTTTCATCTAGAAAGGATGGGCACAGGGATGGGTGGGCTGATGCACTGCGGGACCGCGCTCCTATCCCGACCTCGGCAGAGGGGAGTGTGGCTTCCCAGATCCCAGTGGGGTAGAAGGAATAGCAGGCCTTTGCATCAGAACCTGCTGGTACCCGGCCCCGCTCCCTGCCTGTGTCAAGGTGTCGATCTCAGCATCTAAATCTGTCAGACACTTGTCGAGCATCTCCTTCCACCGGTTGACAGTACAGATCCTCTCTGCCAGGCGAACCTTAGTGTCGTGTTCATCCCATACCGTCTGGAAGAGACGGAACCAAATAAAATGGGTGTCTGTGGCTGAGGGACCTCCCATGGCCCACGGGGCTCAATGACCACCCCCACCCCCAAACCTGGTTGTTGGTCTCATTGCGAAGGATCCGGGCCTCCTGGCGGATCTGGTGGGAAGCATCCCGCTGCCTCTCCGCATTGGTGGACAACAGGTAGCTGTTGGTGCGCCAGTCGGAGAGCTGGTAGTGCTGGCTGGGCTTGGCGCTGAGTGTAGCCATGGCTAAGGAGCCAAGGGTCTGAAACCCTTAGGCCTGTTCCAGACCACCACCTGCAGAAGAAAAGCAAAGTGCCGTTCTGGACCCAGATGCGGTCCTCTTGGCCCCAAGCCCTTTCCTGCAGCTCAGAGTCTGCTGGGGAGCGTTCCAATTCAGCCCCCAGCTCAACTTCCTGTGAGGTATTAGCAATCAGCTATATTTCCTCAGTGGTCCATCTTCTCGCACAAAGCCCTGGAGCCTGCAGATCCAGGGGCGTGGAAAGAAGAGAGCCCGTGTGTGTGTGTGTGTGTGTGTGTGTGTGTGTGTGTGTGTGTGTGTGTGTGTGTGTGTGTGTGTGTGTGTGTGTGTGTGTGTGTGTTTAGGAGGCACCCAATGCCTAGTAAAGGGACGGCAGGAAACATACCCCTTAATCCTGTTTCCACCCCTACTTCCAACAATCACTCTTTCCCAGGCTCTGGGCCACACCCACGGGGGATGAGGGAGAAGTATTGTTGCCTTTCCAGGCTGGTATGACTGGCCCGGCGAACCCAGACTGGAACCAGTTACCTGGGTAGGGAGGGTGCTGGGTCCCTTGCCCCGCCCTGGTACAGAGGAGGAACAGGCCGGCCGCCGGGTGGGAGGAGCTGGGGTCAGAGTCTAGGTCCCAGCAGGACCCTTCCCCCGCACAGGCTCCGCCTTTGGGGTTTCAATCAATACCCCGGCCAGAGGTCTGGGTTAGAAGGAGGGGGTCACAGGATGCTCCCGCCGCCCCAATCCCCTCACCTCCTCTTCCTGCTGGCCCTCGGAGCGGTAGTCTGGGAACGCCTCTTGTTTGCGTCTCTGGTTGCCTGGCAACCGCCCCCTCCTCGCGGCGTCACCTGGGCCCCGCGCTATCACCTGAGCTCCAGCTGCGGATCTAAGAACTGGACATTTTAGTTTTGATCAACGGTTTACACTGACGAGATTTTAAAAGTATGGATAGTGCGTAGGTACAGGAAAGGCCTAGCGCCCAGGCTCGCTTTGCTTCTGGGTCTCTTTCCAGAAACGGGTGGGCGGTGTAACAAAAAATACACCTTGGGCTTACATACATCTAACACATATTCCTTTGACCTTGTTTTGCTCAACGATTTTACCAGTATTTGGAGTCAAACAAACAAAAATGGTGTTCCTTTTTTGGAGAGAGCACAACTTTGGAAGAGAGAACCGGTTGGTATTTTAGTGGGGGTGGGGGGGGGGCTGGATGCACAGTAGGTAGAGCGCTTGCATAGTTTGATGAACCAGCAAAAACTGGACGTGGTGATGCACATGGACGTGGTGATGCACATGGACGTGGTGATGCACATGGACGTGGTGATGCACAGCCGTCACCCAGCACCACAGAGGCAGGACCGGCAGGCAGAACGTGTCATTCCTACATGGGTAATGATAGGTAAAGGTGTCTGGACTTGGTGGGCCAGTGGAGGGTGGGGCTGCCGTCTAAGAAGTGAGAGGTGCTTGTTTTTAGGGGATCCATCCTGCAAATTTGTTCTGAAGCCTGGGAAAGACTGGTGTTGGAGCAGAATTTCTTTTTTTTTTTTTCTTCCGAGACAGGGTTTCTCTGTGTAGCTTTGCGCCTTTCATGGAACTCACTGTGTAGACCAAGCTGGCCTCAAACTCACAGAGATCCGCCTGCCTCTGCCTCCCGAATGCTGAGATTAAAGGTGTGCGCCACCACAGCCCGGCAGAATTTTTTTTTAATAGACCCCTGCCACACACACACACACACACACACACACACACACACACACACACACACAATGTAACCCCAGCTGGCCTTAACTCAAAATCCTTCCTCAGCCTCCCAAGCGCTGCTGAAATTACCTCTGGCTACTTTGTACATTCTAACATATGGCTCATACATGGGACATGAACAGGAGTTCATGTGATGGAGCTCCATGTGATGGAGCTCTTTTTTAAAGATTAGAAAAGACAGACAAGCCGGGCAGTGGTGTTGCACGCCTTTAGCAGGCTGATCTCTGTGAGTTTGAGACCAGCCTGGTCTACAAAGTGAGTTCCAGGACAGCCAGGGCTACATAGTGAAATCCTGTCTTGAAAAACCAAACCAAAACAAAAAACACAGACAAATTAATTGCTGGAAGAAATGGTCAATTTTTAAATTAATTGATTAATTAATCTGGGGGCATTAGGGACTGAGCCTAGAACTTCATAAATTTAGAGCTTATGTTCTACTACTGAGCTATATCCCCCGCCTTAACTTTTGGCTTGCTTTTTTTGGGGAAACATTTTATGACAGAAATAAATAATAAACACATACATTAGAGCTGGAAAAACCCTGCTCCTGGGGTTTCTACATACCAGTGTTTCCAGAATTCAGTCCACTGATGTGTTAGCCAGGAAGAAAGGAGTGATGGGGTGAGCGATAGGCTGGAAATGTCTCAGCGGCCAAGTATTGCCTTTGCAGGTACACATGTCACGTATGTATGTATGTATGTATGTATGTATGTATGTATGTATGTATGTATGTAGTGATGTTATGTCCTGTCATTTTGTATTAGAAATGCCAGGCACCTGACACCCTGTCACTGGGATGGTTACCACTTTCAGTGAGCTCGGCTCCTGTGTGGTGTGTGATTTCTAACTTTGGTGAGTTCCTGGCACACACGCATGCCCCTTCACCGGCCAGCCATTTAGTTGCTATGGTGGACTCTAATGAAAGCCCTGAGGTCTTTTGAGCTCTGCTAGTTCCAAAATTCTTCCACTTTTCTGCTGGAAGGAAGTTCACACCCGATGGCATTTATCACCTGAAAGAAAGGGATATCAGAGCTGAGCAAATGGCTGAGTGGGCAGCCAGGAGAAACAAATACCGGCGTTGGCGTACAAATGACCATGGTCTCTTTAAGCTGGCTTTATTTGGGGATCTCTGGTAGGTTTGTGTACTGAAGAGGGATAGGAAATTTATTTTTTTAAAAAAAAAAACAACAACTGGTTTCGAACTCACAGAGATCCTCCTGCCTCTGCCTTCCCGAGTGCTAGGATTAAAGGTGTGCGCCACCACTGCTTGGCAATTTTTAGTTAAACTTTGTGTGTAGGTTTTGTTTATCTTGGAGATAAGGTGTTTTGTGGAGATACATTGCTTGTAATCTAAGAAATAAAAGTTTGCCTGAAGATCAGAGGACGGAGCAAGCCAGAGTTAGCCACAGAGGTCAGGCAGTGGTGGCACACACCTTTAATCCTAGCACTCAGGAGGCAGAGGCAGAGATCCATCTGGATTTCTGTGAGTTCAAGGCCACACTGGGGCTACATGAGATTAATCCAGTCTAAAAGAGAAACAGCCAGGCAGTGGTGGCACACATCTTTAATTCCAGCACCTGGGATCTCACACCTTTAATCTTAGCACTAGGAAGGTTGAGACAGGAAGTGATATGGCTGGGCAGAGAAAGAAATATAAGGTGGGAGGAAACAGGAATTCGTTCTCCTGTAGAGGCTCTGTCAGGCTGAGGAGTTGGTGAGGTAAGAGGTGGTAGCTATTATGGCTTGCTCGGCTTCTCTGATCTTTCAGCTTTCACCCTGATATCTGGCTCCAGGTTTTTATTATAAGACCATTTAGGATTCGTTGCAACAGTGTGCCTACACAGCATGTATTACTGTGATCTCAGGCCGGACTCCTGGAACCTTGTGACCATCAGTGAAAGACAAGACACATCGCATAGTGTGTCTCACTCAGTATAATGTTTCCCAGTTCCATTCCTTTATCTGAAAACTTTGTTTTTCTTATAGCTGAATAAAGTTCCATTTGTAAGGTACCATATTTTCATTATCTATCCAGTTGATGGATACCTAGGCTGTTTCCACATCTCAGCTACTGGGAATAAAGCAGTGATGAACATGGATGGATTCGTATATGAACCAGGCTACAGGGTCCTTTAGGTATATACCCAGCAGAGGCACAGCTGAGTCATATTCACTAACAGTGTATGAGAGTTCCTTGTTTCCCACATCCTTACTGGAATGTGCTGTCTTTTGTTTTCTTAATCTTAGCCATTCTGGCTGGGGCTGGGTAAGATCTCAAAGCAATTTTAATTTGCATTTTCTTGATGGCCAAGGACAGCGAACATGTGTTAAAATATTTCTTAGCCATTGGTATTTCTTCTTTTAGAACTGTTTAGTACCATAGCCCACTTAATAAAAGAGATTTGATTTTTAATTGTGTGTATCTATGTGTACCTGTGAGTGCAGATGCCCTCAGAGGCCAGAGAGAGTGCTGGATCCTGTCTTAGAGTGACAGAGAGACCATGACCAAGTCAACTTCTAGAGGGTTAGTGTTGGAATTCCTGGCCACGCCCCCAGCTACATGACCGCAGTTCGGTAGCCAAGCAAGGGGCCTTACTCTTACGTAATTCATGCACTGTGTGATCATGTAGTGTGCACGCAGTGTGATCACGCTATCTATGCTCATGTGTGGCGTATGTGCATGTGCAGAGGAATCCATAAGAAGTGGGTCACAGACCCCTCACCCCATGTGTACCACGAGCCTGGTCACATTCTTTCCTGTCCCTCCCTTCTAATAGAACTCTTATACTGGGTTTTGTCGTACCTCGTGGCTTAATGAATAACATTGCACCTCCGTGTTAAAACCAACAGTTAGTCCATTATCATCATCTGGGAATGTGGTGGCATGCATGGCATTGTGCTGGAGAAGTAGCTGAGAGCTACATATCAATCTGCAGGCGGGAGGGAGGGAGGGAGACAAGGGAGATGGAGAGAGATGCTGTGGGATGTTCTGTATGTCCTGTGGGAGCCCGTTCTCGGGTTCCTTGTGGCTTTACCCAGCAGGTCCGCATAGAGGATGATTAGGACCACGGGCCTGAGTGCAGATGTCTGAGATGGTCTGCACTTGGCTGTGCTGTGGGATGGTCTGTATGTCAAGTTGCTCTGATTGGTCAATAAATAAAACACTGATTGGCCCATGGCTAGGCAGGAAGTATAGGCAAGACTAACAGAGAGGAGAAAAGAAAGAATAGGAAGGCAGAAGGAGTCACTGCCAGCCACCGCCATGACTAGCAGCATGAAAAGATGCCAGTAAGCCACAAGCCACGTGGCAAGGTATAGATTTATGGAAATGGATTAATTTAAACTATAAGAACAGTTAGCAAGAAGCCTGCCACGGCCATACAGTTTGTAAGCAATATAAGTCTCTGTGTTTACTCGGTTGGGTCTGAGCAGCTGTGGGATTGGCGGGTGACAGAGATTTGTCCTGACTGTGGGCAAGGCGGGAAAACTCTAGCTACAGAGAGAGACTGGGCCTGGAAGTCCACCCCCCAGTGACACACCTCCTCTAACAAGGCCACACCTCTTAATCCTTCCCAAAGTGTCCTACCAAGTGGAGACTCAGCACTCAAATAGATGAGATGGGAGCCAGCCATTCTCATTCAAGCCACCGCAGGTCCCCTGGAGTTGGGTCATAGACAGTTGTAAGCTGCCTGATATGGATGCTGGGAACTGAACTCTGGTCTTCTGCAAGAGCAATATGTGTTCTTTTTTTCTTCTTCAGTACATATTCTTAACTTCTTAAATATCTCTCTGGCCCCCATAGTGCATTTTTTAAATTGGGTTGTTTTCTTAATGTTTAGCTTTTTGAGTTCTTTGTATATCTTAGACACTAATCTCCTTTCAGATGTATAGCTCCAAACATTTCCCCCCATTTTGTAGGCTGTCTTTTCAGTTGATTAATTTTCCTATTTGTGACACAGGTTTTTAATTTCTTGAAGTCCCATGGAGGTGGAGTTTTCCTATGACATGGCCACTTTCCAAATAACCTACACATGGAGACTCAATTACAAATGTGTGGTCAATAGCTCAGGCTTGTTACTAGCTAACTCTTACACTTAAGTTAACCCATATTTTTTATCTATGCTTTGCCCCATGGCTTGGTACCTTTTCTCAGTACAGCGTGTTCATCTTGACTCTCTCACTCCATCCTTTATCCTCAGTTTGATTGTCTTGCCTAAGTTTATCCTGCCTTGCTATAGGCCAACCAGCTTCTTTATTCACCAGTGAGAGTCACACATATTCACAGTGTACAGAAGGATTATTCCACGACAGTCCCACTTTTTGTCTGTCCATTACCTGGGTGACTGGAGTCCTTTTCAGAAAGTCCTTACCTTAGCTTATATCAGAAGTGTATTCCTTACTTTTTGTTCTGTAAGTCTGGGTTTCCAGGTCAGTTATTTAAAGGAGGCCTGGGCCTCCCTATGTAGCCTGGGCTGGTCTGCCACAGGTTCCCCACCCAGATGACTACAGACATGCACTGCTGAGCCCAACTTTGTTCACTGGTGTATGAAGTTAATTTCCTTAAAGCATCTGCAATGCATGTAAGTACCAGCAGCCAAGAGAAACTGTCAAATGATCAAAATGGTGAAACATGGAAACTGAAAAACGACTCTGACTCTCCTCCCTATGGTGATATTTTATTTGTACTAAAATGTGATTTGTATGTTAATAAAGTTGCCCGGGGGTCAGAGCTACTAGCAAGCCATAGCAAGAGCGTGGCGGTGGTGGTGCACGCCTTTAATCCCAGCACTTGGTAGGCAGAGCTAGGTAGATCTCTGTGTGTTCAAGGATACATCCAACATTGGAGACACATGCCTTTAATCTCAATACCAACCATCGAAGACCTGGAGGTCTGTACAGACAGGCAGTGACTAGGAGGTCATGTGGCTGGGTTTACAACCAATGAGAAGGCATAACAGAAAGTCTATAAAAAAGACAGACACACAGGAAGTAGGTCTCTTTCGGAGGGGTAGGACAACAACGACAGTGAAGGGTAAGGTTTTTAGCTCTTAGCTACTGCTCTGACCTCTTGGCTTTCATCTCTGTATTGGCTGTGTGTTTCTTATTTAATAAGAGGGTTACATCTACACCTCCCCAAGAGCCCCCAGCCCCCCCCCATATTACTCCAGTGTCATTCAGTATCGTCCTTGTTTCTGAGACTCACTGAAGACTCTTAAAGCAGTTGAGCTCTATTGGTGATTTGTTCTGTCCATTCCAAAACTTGGTTTTGCTTTTTTGTTGTTTGTTTGTTTGTTTGTTTGTTTTAGACAGTGTCTATGTAGTTTATGCTAATCCAAACTCATGATTCTCCTGCCTCAGGCCTCAGCCTCGTGAGGGCTGGGATTACAGGTGTGGTCAGCTCAGCACCTTGGTTTTCTTTTTGATTGAGCTGGAGTCTCACTGTTTTGCCCAGGACAGTGTAAACACACAGGCTCAAGCTATCCTCTTGCCCCAGGCTCCTGAATGCTGAGACTACAATGCCTGTCTGAAGGGGCAAATATTCAATATTTACATCAACACCTTCAAAGTAATAAGCAAGCTTGCCCAAGGAGCACATATTTAGAGATTACTACATTGAGTCACTATAATTCCCTAAATCCACGCAAGGAAATGCCTCGTAGTGTCTGGGGCGGTGGAGACAGCCCTTTTTACCCCAGTACTGAGTTTTCTGATGGCAGCTGTAAGGGAAGTTGCTAGATCTCATTTGTCATAAAACAAAATCTGAATTTTTATATTCTTTTTTATTTTTGACTTTCTGAGACAGCGTCTCATTACGCAGACCAGGTAGGCCTCAAGCTCACACCTGCCTCTACCTCCCAAGGGTGGGTGTAAAGGCGAGTGCCACCATGTTTGGCCAAGAGCTGGTTTCTAAAAATCTTTGTTTTTGGTTTTTTGAGACAGGGTTTCTCTGTCTAGCTTTGGAGCCTGTCCTGGAACTGGCTTATGTAGACCAGGCTGGCCTCGAACTCCCAGAGATCCTCTGTCTCCTGAGTACTGGGATTAAAGGTGTGCGCCACCACCACTTGGCCTGAAATCGTAGTCTGAGGTTCTCTTGCATAGATTTGTGCTGGGAATCCACTCCTGGGCTGGTGAGGATTTTCACAAGTTCTTTCCTTCTCATTCTGTTATTTATTTATTTTGTGTTGTTGGTGATAGAACCCAGGGTTTTCAGCATGCTAAAACATGCTAAAAAACACCTAGCCTTGTTTTTTAATTTCTTCTCCCTCCTGATCACGTTTCTAAGCCTGTTTTCTTACTTCCATAATTCCATTCCACCCAATGTCTTTAATTTTTAAAATTGATTTATTTATGTTTATTTTATGTGCATTGGTGTTTTGCTGGCATGTGTGTCTCTGTGAGGGTGTCAGATCTCCTGGAGCTGGAGTTACAGACAGTTGTGAGCCGCCATATGGGTGCTGGGAATTGAACCCAGGACCTCTGGAAGAGCAGCCAGTGCTCTTAACTGATGAGCCATCTCCAGCCCCAACTTCTTAACATTTAAGTGTGTGTGTGTGTGTGTGTGTGTGTGTGCGCATGTGTACCACAGCACAGATATGGAGGTCAGAGGACAACCATTGGGAATCGGTTCTCTCCTTCCACCATGCGGCGTCAGGCCTGGTGGCAAGTGCCTTTATCTGCTGGGCCGTCTCGTCAGCGCTCTACCCAGTGTCTTTTAGTTAAGAAGATAAAAATGAAGGGCTGGGGAGATGGCTCAGTGGTTAAGAGCACTGACTGCTCTTCCAGAGGACCTGGGTTCAATCCCCACCACCCACATGGCAGCTCACAACTGTCTGTAACTCCAGTTCCAGGGTTTCTGACACCTTCATACAGACGCACATACAGGCAAAAGACCAATGAACATAAAATAAAAATAAATTATATATTAAAAAAAAAAAGTGGTGCACACTTAATCCCAGTACTAGGAGATAGAGGCAGGCAGATCTCTGTGAGTTTGGGTCTAGCCTGGTCTACAGAGTGAGTTTCAGGGCAACCACAGCTACAGAGAAACCTTGTCTCAAAAAAACAAAAAACAAGGAGAAAAATGAGTGTGTGTGCAGGAGAGACCGCTTTAAAACTTAAGCTCTATCCACATGCTCAGCATTTTGAAACACTTCCCAGATATGAACTCATATAATGGCTCAAGTGCTCGATCATATTCTTTCATATTAGAGTAAATTATGTATTTACTTATTTTGTTTATAGACAAGTTGCCTAGGAAGTCCAGGCCTTGAACTTGGGGTGATCATCTTGCCTCTGCCTCCCAAGTGCTGGGATTACAGGTATGCAATTCTATAACAGGTCGAATTAAACAGACATTTAAAATTACATTAATTTAGTAGTGTGTGTGTGTGTGTGTGTGTGTGTGTGTGTGTGTGTCCATCTGCGCGAACATCATGGTGGGTATATGAGATCAGATGACTACTTTTAGGAGTCTGACTTCCTTCATTATGTGGATCCCAGGGGTCAACTCATCAGGCTTGGCAGCAAGGATCTTATTTGCTGAGCTATCTTACTGGTCCTTTTTTTAAAAAAGATTTATTTATTATGTATACAGTGTTCTGTTTGCATGTATCCCTGCAGGCCAGAAGAGGGAGCCAGATCTCATTACAGATGGTTGTGAGCCACCATATGGGTGCTGAAATTGAACTCAGGACCTCTGGAAGAACACTGGAAGAACAGCCAGTGTTCTTAATCTCTGAGCCATCTCTCCAGGCCCTCTTTTTTCTTTTTGGATTTATTTATTTATTAATTATGTATACAGTGCTCTGCCTGCAAGTATGTCTGCATACCAGAAGAGGACACTAGATCTCATTATATAGATGGTTGTGAGCCACCATGTGGTTGCTGAGAATTGAACTCAGGACTGCTGGAAGAGCAGCTTTAATCACTGAGCCATCTCTCCAGCCCGGTCCTTTTTTTTTTTTTTTTTCACCTAACTGTGAAGTTATAATAACAACGACACAACAGAAGGTTAGAACAGTTTTCTTAAAGTTATTTTTTTAATTGCAGGTATCAGTGGAAGTTACACTTTAAACTGAGGATAAGCAACAATAAAACCATTAACTTTTTAAACCAAGGAGTAAAAACAGACACAAAATAGAACAGAATGGCAGAGAAACGAGGGGTTCGGTCCCAGGACATTGGGGTGACAGTTTGGGTCAGGAAGCATCATGAGCACTTCTTTCACATAAGTGTTACATATGACCAAACTGTTTACAACTAGCTTCTTCCAGCCCCAAGTCACACATGAGGGGAAATACATTTTGGAAATAATTTTTTTAGGGTAAGATGGTTTAGTTCAAAGTAGAAAATTTAATACCAAATTAGAAATAGCAAAGACAAGCACTTTTGATTAAAAACTTTATTTGCTTTCTGCTTATCATAGTCACCCATCATCTTTAAGGAGTTAACATGATAAATAAATCAGAGCTGATCCCCCATACACAGTGATAGAGTCCAGCATTTGGTGAATCTAAGGACAGTGATCACACACACACATCACTCCCGACAGAGTTCCAACCCCTTTGCACAATATGGCAGCCAAGTTAATCAGTCTGTATCTTTTCTGGTCCCATAGAGACTTACAGCTCAGACCCACCCCACTGTCTCAACTGATGTGAGTGTGTGGCCAGACGTGTAAAAAGGCGGCAGGTAGACAAACATTATGAAGTGCTGTGGTCTTTAAATACTACACTAAACTCTTATGAAAACCAAAGGAAGAATATGAGGTGAGCTCAGGCATACGGCAGCTACTTTGGGGAGGGATGACAAGGAAGGTCAGAGCCCCATCCTGGGCTTGGCTCTGGTATCAGTAGAAATATTTGGCAAGAGCAGGGAGTATGAGAAGAGGGTGAGAGAGATTACTCTGAATTTATGTAACATTCCCGTTTCAAAACATTCTGTTATTGACCCCGAAACAGAAGTTCACATCTGCAATACAAATAGGCACGCATGGTCTAGGTGATTCAAAGGTCCAATTTAAAAGGCTATCCACATGGAGGACATTTTGCAGGTGGCTCCACCCTGCCCACATGTCTTATAATGTACATTTTACTCCCCAGAAAGGTCCCTTGAGGAAGAACGTTGGTTTAAAAGCAGCAGCAATTGTCTAAAGCAGGAGCAGTTAGTAACTGACTGCTAAGGGAATCCAGAGAGAGGGGAGGGTTGCAATGGAATGGCCATGCTGCCATCTTAGTCTTCCCAACATAAAAGAGACAACACGTTAATTTGTCTATGTACACTTAATCCAGAGTGTTGTGAGGTTTTTATAATACACACACACACACACACACACACACACACACACACACCACTGCTTTCCACAGCCTACAAACGCACCCACATATTAGATTACACAAATGATATCTACTTACAAGATACAGCAATACTTTTATGGGTCCACAACTAAGAGAGCCATCAAAGTCACACGTTAGAGTGAGACCCGCTTAACAGTGCTCTGATGCATCAGTGTCAGCCACCGCACTGCACCCTATAGGCATTTTTATTCCTTTGTTTTGAGACAAGGTCTTGCTACATAGCCCTGGCTGGCCTGGAATCTGGGATGATCTTTCTGCCTCGGCCTTCCAAGTGCTGGGAGTACAGGAGTGACTCACCACACCCAGCTTTTTTATTTTTAAGTATAAAGCTCCCCAATGTCTCACCTTGTAGTTCTAATTGTTCTATTAAACTAACCACAGGTACCAGCTTTCTTATCGAGAAGTTGGAAAGGCCCAAATGCTTGCAAGAACGGGGAGGTCAGTAACAGTAGAGATAAGAAAAACATTGAGTTCATCCATACCCTGTATATTTAACAGACGTCCACTTTTCTTTAAAAACAAAAACAAAAGCAACCAATTCGTCTGTTGCAAAAAGGAGTGTTTATACCTGTGGCGATGAGCCCTTTGTGGTCTCCTAGAAACAGGAGCCCCCATCTCACAAGGAAATGGGTTTCCTGTTGAAATGTAAGGCCCTGTCAGCACTCACAGGTACCCGGGTCATACATACAGTATCACTACAGCCAGTCTCTCTCTGACTTCTGGGAAAGGGACTCACTAAGTAACCTTGACTTACCTCAAACTTGTGATCTGCCTGCCGCAGCCTCCTGCACAGTGGGACCAGAGTGTACCACCGTGTCTGGCTTATGTTTTAACTTTTACAGCTAAATGACGACTGGAATTTTTAAAGTAAAGCAAAGTTCAGTTCTGTAAAGTGACAAGTGAAATCGGCACACTTTCCTTCTGAGAGCCCTACCCACTTCTCCAAGGGAAGGGTGCCGAACATCGGCCGAGAGCACAGGGTAAGCCCCACGGAACAGCAGCGGAGGTGGATGCGGAGCCCAGGCGCCTGGAGACAGGTCAGGTTAAAACCCAAGGGCCCGACGGACAGCTTCATCGGGAACTAAAAATGCAACTGTAACCACTTTAGCACCACCGAAAGGGATTCGGTTTTTAAACACTTACGTTTTTGCTAGGGGTTGTGACAAAGAAAAAATGTGCCCCCGCACTGGACGTCTGGAAGGGAGGAAACGAGACACACTGGAACACCACATGCGATGCCGTCATGCTTCTCATAGTTTCATAAAACGATCTGCCATTCATAATGAAGACCCTTGCACAGAGACCGACCGGAAAGAACCTTCAGAACCTTCTCTACACTCTGAACTTCTGAACAGCTTTTCCTTCGTGGAAGTCAAACATTACTCACAAACAGACTGATTCTCAAGAAAACTTAGGTGAGGTAGGTGAGGGCAGGTACCGTCACTACAGGGAGACAGCGGAGGAAGAAAACGGCTCAGGCAGAGCTAGTGTGAGCCACACCCAAGTCTCTGGCTCATGTCCTACAGCCCCTTCCCACTCTCAAAGGCACACAATCTCTCGACAGTCCTCTTTTAGTTGTGACCATTTAAAGGCCACATTTAAAAATACCTTATGTCTTCCTTATAACTCAGGCCTGACTACAGATGGGTAGAATTTTTTAATTTTAATTTTATTTTATTCTCTGGTTTTTCATCACAGGGTTTCTCTGTGTAGCTTTGGAGCCTGTCTTGAAACTCACTCTGTAGCCCAGGCTGGCCTCGAACTCACAGAGATCCATCTGCCTGCCTCTGCCTCCCGGGTGCTGGGATTAAAGACTTTTTTATTTTTTTAGAGAAAGGGTCTTATATTGCCCAGGCTGACCAGAAACTCAAATGTATGACCCATGCCTGGTGTGTGTGTGTGTATGTGTGTGTGTGTAATTTATGTTGTTTGACTTAGGTGTGTATGTGCCCACCAAGGCCAGGCAGGGGCATCAGATCCCTTGGAGCTGGAGTTTCAGGAATTGGCAAGCTGTCAGTGTGGGTTCTGGGCATCAGTCCTGGTTCTGACAGGACAGGAAGTGCTCTTAACAGTTGAGCCTCTCTCTCTAGTTCCCAAAAAAATTATTTTCTGTATAGAATTGTCTACATACCAAGAAGTCAAATGTGATAAATATATCTATATAACAACTTCAGTGAAATAAATAAATATGTAAGTTGAGGAATGGGTTGTTGAAGTATTAATCCATTCAACCTATTAAAATATATATTTAAGAAGCCATGTATCAAAATAAGTCAGAACTTTTTTTCTTGGTCTGGAGCTTGTGATATCGCCCAGGCTGATTTCAAACTCCGAGATCCCCCTGGCCAGTGCGCAGGGATTAAGGTGTGTGCCACCACGCTGGCTAACACAGTCTTTTTATCAAACAGGAACTTCTGGCAAGTGGTCCTGCTTCCCAGACTTTCTAAAGACTATTATTTACTCACAGCAGAGTCCTGTGACCTGCTTGTGGACCTTTTTGTTTCCTGTTTAAAGAGGAGAAAAAGTTGTGTCGGGGCTAAGAAGGCACTGGGAAACTTTGAATCTCTGTTCTAGAGGGTTCCACCCGTTCTTGCTTGCTGTTTTAGTGGTTGGGTTTTGGAGGGGGCAGGGCAGGGGCAGGCTTGTGCTTGTGATGCGTGTGCTTTACCCCCCGAAGTAGACTGCTAGCCCTCTGCGTTCCCAGTTTCTGAGTGTGGAAAGAACACAGGAGGGCTCGCAAGGTCCTCATCAACAATGAGATGCTTCCCTGACTGAAATGGGAGGTAGTCACAATTAGCCATCATCAGAGAGCATGTCCATTGCTACAAAAACCAAAGCTTCCTATTGCTCTCTGGGACCAAACTGGATGCATTAGGCAGGTGAAACCATCCACTCCAAGATCCTTCCTTCCTTCCTTCCCATCCATCAGTGTTTTCCCCAAATCCTTACAGAAAAGTCTGGAAAGACCCAGCTTAGTGTTTTCTAAGGAGAGAGCAACCAAAGCAACGCCAGGCTTCTATTTGAGGATAAACACTTCATGTGATCCCTCACATAATGCAGAGGTGACTTCTAAGACTTGAACTTGCTAAGAACAGGTGCAGCTCTGGGTTTGAGACAATCAGCTAATACAGGTGTCCGTTATGAACCCTTCCTTCACATGTGTGCCAAACAGTAACAACTGCTCCATTATCTGTGGTTCTGAGAACTTGGAAAATACTAATTATACAGTTTCTAGCATCCCAGCAAAGAAAACACTCCCCCCCTCCGTTTCCATCCACTACTGCCTCTCACAGCCTCACTGCTCAGTGTCTTCATACATGTCTCCTGGCTTCACAGGACCTTTTAACAAGGGTGGAGTCACATACAAACACATTTGAGCCAATCCGCTCTGCGCTGAAGATTATCAATGGCTAACTCCAGGGAGTTTTGTTTCTCCAAACAAAAGTCATGAAGATGAAAGCTTTAGGCATGAAACAGAGTAACTTCCCCCTCTAGTCTCTGAAGCAGCTGGCTATGAGCATCCTAGGATGGCCTCCAACTTAGCACGCACTCAAAGATAACCTCCTGAGTGCTGGGATTACGGGAGTGCACAGCCAAGCCCAGCTTGTGAGGCGCTGGGGATTGAACCCAGGGCTTCAGGCATGCTAGGCAAGCACTCTTCTGCATGAGCCACATCCCCAGCTTGTAAACTGCAAACAAAATTACAGCCTTGCACAGAGATGGCTACTGACCCACTTGCCTGTCTTTTTCATTTTTTTAACTGTTCCTGAAGGTTCCTTTGTGAGATGATCTACACCTCACTGCGTGGATACTTGGTTCTGAAGAGTGGGCTGTGCAAACAAGCCATCCAGCATTTCACTGATAACGCAGCACCGAGGCCAGATATCTGGGTATGTGGAGCCCGCCACGGAAGTTCGGGCACCCAGGGCTTTCCGAAGGAACAGAGAAAGCTGGTTTCCAGACAGCCTTAAACACATTAGTCTAAGAGAATGGTGTGTATGCCCGTCTACCTAGAACAGCGCTGACATTCAGGACAACTCAAGTTACCAACAGTGACCAGCCTCCCAAGGGGACCTGTCTATACTTGCAGAAGAGACGACAAAAACCGACCCCTCAAAACAGTCTCTACGGATAGTTAATAAGCCCCATGACCAGGGCACTGAGTCAATGGCACTGAATCTGGGGTGAAGGAAGAAGTTCAGAAGGTACATTATACAGCAAAATATGTAGCTGGAAAAAATGCAGAAAGAGATGATTTAGCGAACGTCTACATGAAATCACATGCTGATTCGTTTTACAGTGTACGTGTTTACTTATTAGAAAAAATATTTTCCCATTTCCAAGTACTTAAAACTTCCCCATTTTTCTCCTGCTCAGGGGGAAGAACAGAATACAGAGAGAGAAATAAAAATGCATTCAGCCTCAATAATTTGATATTTAAAAATTCAAGAAGGGATAGAAGTTGTCTTTCCATTTCTCACAGGAAAAAAAATTCCTTACCAAGCAAATTCAGAGTGTAAAAATATAATGGAAATATTTTACCTTCTTAAGTGAATACATCTTTCTCATATACTTATATTTAAAGGAATTAATGTGTCAATATGATATTGATCCACTAAAAACTGCAGTGATTATATTCACTTGAAATTAATATTCTTTTTTTTTTCTTTTTAAAGATTTATTTATTATGTGTACAGTGTTCTGCCTGCATGGCAGAAGAGGGCACCAGATCTCATTACAGATGGTTGGGAGCCACCATGTGGTTGCTGGGAATTGAATTCAGGACCTCTGGAAGAACAGCCAGTGCTCTTAACCACTGAGCCATCTCTCCAACCCGAAATTAGTATTCTAAAATTATGCCTTTCACTGCTTTCCAATTAGTTCATGTTACTACTCAGTCAGAACTTTGTTGTTGATTTTTGTATTTTTGGAGACCAGGTCTCACTATGTAGCTCTGGCTGGCCTGGAATCTACAGATCTACTGCAATACTCAAGAGGCCTGTCTCTGCCTCTTGAGTATTGCAGTTAAAGCCACACACCACCAGTCCTGGCCTACTTAGGTAGATTTTAATTAGCTGAGATGCTCTATTATTCTATCCCCACACTTTCCAACACCTACACTCTTTTTCTTCACTGGTACTCAGTGTTGAGTTAACTTTAAACTATTCTAGGCAAGTTCAGGGTAGCAAATCTTCCAAATAATTATGGGAAGGAAAAAATCTCATTTCAAAGTCAATTACCAATGATTTGTATATCTTTTTCTATTTGTCTTCCTGACTATAAAAATGAATCACAATCGAGAGCAATGTACCTCAAGCTAAAAAAATAAATCAAACATCATTTCTTCGACAACTTCCCCCAAAGTGCAATCAGGTGCAATGAGTCCAGTTTGTTAGCGTTCCTTTTCTCCAAATGAACCTAACTTCCAGAGAAGTCCCTCCTCTCTCCATGCAGAAAGCCACCTAAGAACTGTCCTGAATGCCCGTTATATAAAATATTAAATATTCTAAATTAGAAAATAGCATTAATGGTTTATTGGTAAAAATCCAAACTCCATAGAATTAGTAGTTTGGTTTATATATTAACACACCATCTTAATTTCTGATAATATTACAAAGGAAGAGAAAAGCTAGAAATATCTATAAAAATAAAATCCTTAAATCCAACATCTAGGGCAAAATACAAAAGTTGCACACAAATTGCCAATAAATATAAATATCACAATAGAAAAATTAATCTTAAAAAATAAACTAAGAATTGCTATTAAGACATTATAAACATGAGCAAGTTTAATGCACAAACAGACAGAGTACACGCCAGACAATCAGTGTAATTTTACGATCCTTACATAATGCAGCAATACCAAGTTGCCGAGGTGTGCTGTTTTCTGTTAGCCTGGCTTTCTTCTGGAGGACGCTCACTAATTCACCAGCTATGCTGTTCACTGCTCCTTGGTATAAGGACAAGCTGCTGCTCTCTGACAGAGATGGGTCTCACTTCACCTAGTCCCCATCACAGCCCAGATCTGCAGTTTTTCTTCCCCTAGTGCTAGGGAGGAACCCAGGGCTGTCTATGCTGAGCATGCACCCTACCCATCAGTCACATACCCTTGACTGCAGTCTGTTGCTAAACACGTGACCTTGCCCTCTTCATTTTTTCAGTCCTCCCACCCAGGAAAAACTGGAATCATTTAAAATAGTCACTGGTGTCTAAAAAACCAAAATTTCCCTAAAGGCTGAGCTATAATCATTTTGCTTTCTCTCTTAAACTGATGTCAGTGACGTAGCTCTTCCTTTATAAGTATTCTTCCTTAATGAGGAGTCATTAGAAAAGGTTAGTCAGGAGGTGACTATCCTGAAAAAGGAAAAGTAGCTCATAATACGTAGTTCCTGGCATGGTACCTTTGCCTTGGGGCACTTACTACTATATCTGTTATCTTATATACATTATAGATTACTTCAAACATAGCTGAGAAATAAAAACTATATGTTCAAATTACAGAATCAATTTGGTGAGCATTAACTTAGACACATTACTACATAAAAGCCCCTTGGTCCTCTAGACCAAGTTCAGGACAACAAATAGCATTATTTATATGAAACTGTCATACTCTTGGTATTCTAAATTATCTTAAAATTTTAGCTTTATGCTATTTAAAAAATAAAAATCTACAGCACCATCTTCAGAAAAGGCACTTTCTAAGAACCACCCTGATTTAAAAATCAAATTCAGGCCGGGCGGTGGTGGCGCACGCCTTTAATACCAGCACTTGGGAGGCAGAGCCAGGTGGATCTCTGTGAGTTCGAGGCCAGCCTGGGCTACCAAGTGAGTTCCAGGAAAGGTGCAAAACTACACAGAGAAACCCTGTCTCGAAAAACCAAAAAAAAAAAAAAAAAAAAATCAAATTCAGTGTCTACCCTGAAAAGATTCTTTACTGAGACCCTAATGTAGAACAATAGCAGATTCTGGTGACCTTAGACATTGATTCAAAGAGGAAGTGAGCTGGCTGGCCACTCTGAGAAGATCCTAATTTCGTCACACTGTTACCTGTGACTTCAACAGGGTCTCCTACTGATAATCCAACCCTCCATACAGAAGCTTACCATCCTTTCATTCAAGTTAAAGTCATTAACTTCCAGGCTTTAAGAACACAAAATTCTTAAAATTTAACTGATAATATAAAACTCTAGGGCACTCCTTTTGATGCATGAGGTAAATTTCAACTGACCATGGATAATCAGCTGAATCCTTGCCCATTTAAAAATTGCTGACTTACAGGGAAAAGTATAAACTTAAATGTAACATTTTTAGAAACTAGGGGAAAAAAGTAAAAACATTTTTTTTCCTTTTGTGATATATTTTATTTGTATATAGATTACCTTCTTCACTCTGGGACTCAGCTTGTGTTTAATTAATCACAGAATCATATCATTCATTGCCAAGATTTTTTAGAGACAATTCTCTTTCTGATTTCTTTGTCTTGTTCTTTTCTTTTGGGTTTGGCAGAGTTGGGGACAGAGTATTGCTCTGTAGCCTAGGCTGGCCTTAAACTCTATGTAGCCCAGGTTGGTCTTGAACTCAAGATCCTCTGGCCTTAGTCTCTGGAGTATGAGGATCACAGGCATGTGCTAAGCCCAACTGTCGTCTTCCTGATTTATATACTGACTTAAAAATAAAAAAAATTATATTACATTTGTGTGTGTGTGTGTGTGTGTGTGAGTGTGTGTGTGTATGTGTGTGTGTGTGTGTGTGTGTGTGTGTGTGTGCACATGCTTGAGCCCACATGAGTCATGTCATGGCATGCGTATGGAGGTCAGAGGACAATTTATGGGAGTTGGTTCTCTCTTTCCACTATTTGGGTCCCAAGAATTGAACTCAGGTTTTCACTCTGGGTGGTGAGTGCCTTTCCCTTCTAGGCTATCTCCTGCCCTCTGTACTGACTTTTACATACTAATTATTTATGGCTTAGTTTTTGACTCTTTTTTAAAAAATAATTTATTTATTCTTATTTCATTGGTGTTTTGCCTGCATGTATTCTGTGTGAGGGGCAGGTGTTAGATCTCCCGGAACTGGAGTCACATACAGTTGTGAACCAGAATTGAACCCTGGTCCTCTGGAAGAGCAGCCTGTGCTCTTAACTGCTGAGCCATCTCTCCAGCCCCCAGTTTTTGACTCTTATAGAACCACAGAGATGCTTATGTGGAGAAGAAACAGGAAAACAAAGACCCTCTAAATCAGAGTATAGCATCACTCGGACGACCTCACTTGATGTAAAGCTCTCCGACTATTTTTAATTAAAGCTTCAAAAATATCTACAAATTCCCAAGATGGATGAGGAGGACTAACACTTCACATGGATAAAACAGCTGAGTCAAGAAAGCTGGACAAGTGAACTGTCTGTCTGACAAAGTCACTTAACTCCTAAGAGGTTCATAAACTATAGGGAACTGGTAAGAGTAGCCTTTCTCTGCAACAGGAGGGTACCTACAGGGATAAGGGAAATGAACTTTTTGCTCTTGTTTGGAGACATGGTCTCATGTAGCTAAGGCTGGCCTTGAACTCTTGATGCTCCTGAGGGCTAGGATTATAGGTGTACCTTATAACCGGCTCAATTGAACATATAACTGTTTAATGACACCCAGTGGAAATGATACAGAGATATCAGTTAAACTTCTTGGCAAAACATTACCATCAAGGTTTGAAACAGAAGGGAACAAACTACTAGTGTCCAAGTGGCTAGCTCCTTGAATTTCATAAAAATTAAGCATTTGAAAAGCCCCACCACATGCTTGGGACAGATGTCTCTCTGGGCTTTCCGTCTATTGCTGGCCTCCAAGTGCTTCCCCTGGTCCTGGCTGAGATCTGGGAGCCATTTCAACTCAACAGCAGCTGGTTTCTTATTTCCCAAGACACACCTCAAGTCTGCTATCCACAGAACAACATACAAGTCAGTACTAAGCTGTGGGGATCCCTGAGAGCCTGGCTTGGAAAACTAGTATGGGTCTTCAGAAGGCAAGGAGTCTCTCTAATAGAACAGAGATGAATCTTTATCAAGTGCCTTCCGAAACACACAGAACATTCCTACTAGATTCTCTTCAGGAAGAAAAGTAAATTAATAGTTCATGAGGAGAGTAGAAGAGATATTTCCACTTTTTTTCCTGGAAAACTTGTTAAAAGATAATTATTAATAAAATGAAAGGTATCCACATTTCTGTGAAAATGTGCCAAAGCCCAGGACTGAGAAGACTCAAGTCCCCCCTAGGAACTGTCAATGTAAAAACAAACTCCATTTCTAAAGCAAAGGCATTCTGTAATTAAAATGGAGCTGTTTCAAGTACCTGCTGTTACTTTCATAATTTGTGTCCCTAAACTTATCTAAAAAAATCCAAAGGGCCTGACAATACCTGGCATCTTGCACAAATCCTTATGATTTAGTGCAGTAACTGTCGGCCTCTGTCTAAATAAATACAGCAGCTACAGAACGACCAGCACCCGGTCTCAACGCCAGGACTCTGACACTGCAGTGCAGAGACATGGAACATGCACACTCTACAGACACATTTGCCATCAAGAACATGCATTGAATTCCCAACTCTTCTTCAGAGGGAAGCCAATTACATAAGTTGTTTAGGCTGACATTTTCGTCAGTCTTATGAGACACATCATAAAACCCTGCAGGCCAGCATTCATCAACCAGTGAGAAGGGTCGGGATAGAAAAGAAGAGTTACTATGGTTTCATGATGTTTAAACTAAAGAAGGAACTTAAGAAAACCGATTAGGAATTCTATCCAGAGATGCAAAAATAATTACTCTAAATTTTAAGAAGTATTTTCCATAAGCCTTTTACCTTAAAATTCTAAACACAAAGTTTGTTGGCATTAAGTTTGGTATACCAATTTATTAGTAGGCAAAATAGAAATATACTATACATATTCTTCTAAGTTAATTATCTTAAACTAGCAAAACTGAATAATGTAAGGGCATTCTAAAAAAGAAACCATTCAAAAGATAAAACCTTATATTTTAGAAAAAATATTCTTCCCCTTAAAAAAAATCCTTCCAAATAAGAGTTAAAATAAGGGCTTCACTCTGGCAAGTGTGAGATCACAGGTCAGGAAAAAGACAGGGTGTGCTGCGCCCCAAAAGTTCCTCACGTGAGTAAGGGCAGGGGCCACAGACAGAGAATTATTCTTAATTATATAACTAAGTGTTAATTATACTGAACAAGCACGGGCTGTACTAGTCTCTTTTCTGGCCCATCTCCCCAGACAGCCAGGCATGGTGGCAGGGATGCTGTGGTCCCGGCTACCAGGGAGGCTGGGGTGAGATGATGTTGGAGCTCAGGTGCTGGAGGCCGGCATGGGCAATACAGGGAAACTTTGTCTCCAAGACAAGCAAGCAAACAAACCAACCCCAAATATGTGTTAAGGAATTTTTCTTTTGTCAAGGAGGAGATGGGAGAATTTTGGAAGGAAAAAAAAATGTACAAACTACACAAATATCTTTTGTAAAGTGCTTTGAAACAGTATTGAGAATTGCATTTTAGATTCTTCAAAGCAATAAAAGTAAAAAATACAGTACTTAGTTTTCTGTCAGAAGGACAAAAGATTTCATGCCTATGGGGAGGACACGGGCTCAGATTTTAGGCTCAAAATACAGTAAATTGGCAATAATAGTGGATTGAAAGTAAGAGCAAAAATGAAGACCTAAACCTATCACTTCTCACATGCAGATGGAGTTCTGAAGGGCTGACAGTGCCAGCTGCAAACATCTGCATTGTCTGTCCTCAGAACTAGTGTGGTAAGAACAGAGAAAACTCAAACGCAAGTTTCATGAGTTACAAAGTACAAAGCTCCCTGAACCCAACGTTACTGGGAAACTCAGCTTTGACAGCCTTACAGTTATCAGCTAAAGGTACTGACTAAAGAAGTGGAGAAAAATACGTTTTTAAAGATTTCCCCCATATTTCAGAAATTTAACTAATTTTAAATGATCAAAGTCCCAAACTCCTTTGTCACCATCATCTTAATTTTAAAGAGAAAGTTACATCTGTGAAAATATAGAAAAAAAATCATCCAGTATTTTCTGGATTCCTTTTGGTCAAAGAAGCACAATTCTTCAACAATTAAGATCTATTTTAAATAATTAAAAAAATTTAAATCTTAAGCTGTTCACTGTCTTTTTTTTTTTTTTTTTTCCCAAGATAGGGTTTCTCTGTGTAGCTTTGGCTGTCCTGGAACTTGCTCTGTAGCCCAGAACTCAGAACTCAGCCTGCCTCTGCCTCCCGAGTGCTGGGATTAAAGGTGTGCGCCACCACCACCTGGCTATCACTGTTATTTTTAAAAACTGAAGTGCAGCTGTGTTTCTGGTCTCTAGTGAGGCTCTTTTAGTCGGTTTTACTTCCTTGACTGTGATTTTTAAGGACATGCTTTAAAACTGAAAATTAGGAAGCTCTCCTGCTGACATTAAGGCTGTATTACTTTGCCCCCTTTAAAATAACAGAGGTGTCTCTTCTTCCTGTGGTCCATGGTGAAGATGACAGACACAACTTTCCTTTCAAACTGCTTATTGCACTAAATAGAGCGAAACTAGTCTGTCCTTAAACATGATTACATTTCTATAAAAGATATAGTCATTGCAGTTTATAATTGTTAAAGCACTATTCTAATACAAAAGCAAAAGGAGCTGTACTGAAACATACATATATGTTTATATATATACATATATACACATATAAAATATATATGAACATCACATTAAGGTGTGAGGGCAGTAAGTAAACTAGCAAAAAACAAAACCCCTAATTCCTTTTCTCTTTCCATCCTACAGAGTTTCAGATTTTTAAAATATTTACCCTTTATACAAGCTTTAAGGGATTTCCGGGTATGACTCATACAAACAGAGGCTTTAGAACATTTGTCACTGATCAGAAAGTCTTCTGACAAGGTTTTGTGGTTATAGCAGCTTTACCACACTCACTACAGAGAGGAATCCTCCGGCTGCCACTGTTCCTATACACAGTGCACACATGGCAAAGGTGAGTCCAGGGCAAGATGGAGCAGACACTCGCACACATGGCCCCAGGAGCCGAGGACTCAGAACTGTGTATGAGATGGGAGCTAGGAGTAGGGGACCTAAGGTAACAACAGAAATCTAGTTTGCCACGCTTTACTTCCAATGAATCATACATGAGAACATGTGAGTGTCATCTGTAGCCATACGGACAAAAGTGTAGATGCTGAAGGCAAGTAGGGAGTGACAGAAATGTCAGTGGAATGAACTGGAACACAGACACATATATACCATTAATCTAGATCTAGATATATATGCACATGAAGTACACCCGTGTGTATGTAAAATACAGACTCCTTTACAAGAATAGATGAATGCACATTGCTCTTTTCTGCACATATAACTGAACAATCATTACTTGTGTAGGTCTGCGTTTTAAACCATCATTCACGCTTTCTTGACTCTTTTGCAAAGACAGTTGTGCTGCCAAGCGACTTGAGGTAAAGGCATTAAAAGGTTGGACAGTAAGAAGGGAAAATAAACAACCGCGACGCTTCCTACAGGAGACTGCAGGAAAGCAGCTGGCTGCTTCCTAGTGCATAACGGTACTACGTTCCTCGACAAAGGGAACAGATTCCTGGGAATCAACAAAGGCCCAGACCCTACAGAGTGTTGGCTTCTGTGTGGCTGGAGTGTCCCCAGGGATCCGATTCCCCTGAACATACACTGTATGTTGACTGGTCTTTCAGCTCTTCCTCTCAGAGAATACACTTGGACTTGTTAAGCGAAGTACATTGTGCGTAAGGTATCTTGGTGAATCTGTACAGCCTTGGCAAGGGCCTGTGGATCCCGCCCATTGCTCTGTCCTGAAACGTGGCTTCCCTCAGCACTGTAAGAGAAGGGTTAATGAACACAAGCATAAACCTTCCGTCCTCATGTAGTGATTCTGAAGAACAGTACATGTTGTAGAAAATTCCAAAAATACCAGCAATGAGAAACTGGTATAATGAACTTGGTGTCCATCATTTAGCTTCAATATGGCCAATTTTAGTTGGTTCTTTCATTTTTCTCAGGATTAATTAGAAATAATCCCAGACATTATATCATTTTTGTCTAATATGTACACACACACACACATTACTAACAATATCTTCCTTGGGTACTTTGGGGAAGCAACTAAGTTACTAGATTATTCTATGTTTTTTAAGGGTTTACTTAATTTTCAATGTCTATGGATATTTTGCCTGCACATCCCCCTCCACCCCTCCATGCACCATGTGCCATGAATTCCCCTGGAACTGTAGTAACAGACAGCTGTGAGTCACCATGTGGGTGCTGGGAATCGAACCCAGGTCCCAGGTCTAGGGGAACGGTCAGTGCTCCCAACTGCTGAGCCATTCATCTCTCCAGCCCCAGCTCACTCTATTAGTAAACCCGCACAGTGTTTTTTTAGAAAACCTTATTTTGGGCCATCAGTTGTCATCACTTTCCACACAGCACGCTGGCTGGCTGACAGCCTGTGGAATTTTAGTTCTGAACGGCAAGACTCTAGGCAGACGGGTATGTACACACGTGGAGGTGCTTACAGAAATGGCCTAAGGGAACCAGACTGCATTCGATTTGGCTCGAGAACCCCCACTCTTTATGCTTCCATATTACCTGTCATGTTCCTTGTCCACAAGATGATATCTGGCTCTGAATGCCACCAGGTGAGCATAGTACGCTGGTGCGGGGATGGAAACGGATCTTGTACAGCGTACATAGGTGTGACAGAGCTGGTAAGTCAGCAGCTGGAGTTCATCTGCAGTGAAGCAGTTGTCATCCCACAGGACATGGTAGTGTGAAGGACGGCTAGTTCCCTATGGAGAGGAAATGGTGCAGTCTGTTGATTTCTAAACTCCGTTTTAAACCGTTTTCACTGGTGGACTGGCAAGATGGCTCACTGGCTAAGTGTTTGCTGCACAAGCCTGGTGACCTGAGTTTGATTCTTAGATCCCATGTAAAGGTGGATGGAGAGAACAGGATCCACAAAGCTGTTTTCTGACCTCCACATTTGTGCAATGGCATGTACACCCTGCTGCCATATTAATACTCACATACACATACAGTAATAACGTGTAGTGATATTTTGTTTTGCTCTAACTAATAAAGCTTGCCTGGAGATCAGAGTGCGGAGCTAGCCACTAGAGGCCAGGCAGTGGTGGCACACACCTTTAATCCCAGCACTTGGGAGGAGGAAACAGGAAGTGATAAGGCAGGGTGGAGACAGGAGCTCCTTTCAGTCTGAGGATTCCTAGAGGTAAGAAGTCTTTCTAGTGGCTGGCTGCTCTGCTTCTCTATCTTTCAACTTTCATCCTGATATCTGACTCCGGGTTTTTATTAATAAGCCCAATTAGGATTCGCACTACAGTAACGCACATGTTTCATTGGTGTATCTTGGTTGCACGTGTACTTCGTTACAGAAGACCATCGTCACAGCCGTATATAACTTGCTTTAGGCATGCTAACCCACCCTTTGTACCCCTTCCCTTTCTCCTGCTTTACCCCCTACTTTCTCCCTCTGTCCCTAGACAGTTTCACGTCTACTTTCGTCTCATATACATTCATGGTTTTACGTGTCTATATAAAATCTAAATGCATTTATTATTATCACTTTAGTTTATGTATGTGGGTGTTTAGCCTGCTTGCGTGCCTGTCCAGCACATGCATGATGGGAGCTTGTGGAGGTCTGAAGAAAGTACTGGATTCTCCTAGAGCTGGAGTTATAGCTGGGTGTTAGTCACCAGGTGGGGGCTGGGAATCAAACCCAGGTCCTCTGGAAGTGCAGCCAGTGCTCATAACCTATGAGCCATCCTTCCAACCTCTCCATATAAAATCTAGGACCTATGGATGAGAAAAGGTATGCAATAGCTTTCTCTTTGAAACTTAATTTGCTTAACATGAGTATTTCCAGTTGCAACTACTTTCATGTAAATAATATAACTTTTTCTTTATGGCTGAGAAAAATTCCATTGTGTATATATACTCCAGATTTTATTTCCATTCCATTACTGATGGACACCTAGGTTAGTTCCATAACTCAGCTATTGTGACTAGAGTAAATGCAGTAAACACCGGTGTCTAAGTGTCTCTGGTACACTGACTTGGAGTGGTAGCGCTGGGTGGTAGTTCTATTTTCAATTTTTTTGAGGATTCTCCATACACTGATTTCTATGAGAACTGCACTAGTGTATAGTGCTGTAGACCAGCATGTATGGTTTCTTTGGGTCTCTCTTTGCCACTATCTGTTGCTGTGCTCTCTCTCCCTCTTCCTTCCTGCCTGGCCCAGACAAAGTCTTATGAATCCTAGATTGTTCTTGACCTCACTAGGTAGCCAAGGGTCACCCCGAACTTCTTACCCTTCTGCCCTCACTTTCAGAGTGTTGGTGTTACTGACATGCACAAGCTCATGGCTTATGGGGTGTTGGGGATTAAACCTAGTGTTTCCTACATGCCAGGCAAATATTCTAACATCTGAATGGTATCGCCAGCCCGTTCATTATTTTCTTAATGACAGCCATTCTGACTGGGGTGAGATGGAATCTTTTTTTTTTTT